GGGATTCCAGAACCCCTTATGTATGAGTTATCATGGCCTCTGTGCCATTTGAAAGGAGGATATTCCTAGTAGTCCAGTATTCTTTTTCTTTTTTCTACATTGAGTTCTCTAAAAATATGCCACATTTAGTTGATAAAATGCCATTTAAGTACCTATTAAGAAAGAAGAAAAGTGGCAATATAATTGCATAGTAGACATCCAATAAATGAATGGCCTGCATGACACTCTTAGCGAGAAAAAAGGTGAGAGGAAAATGATGGAAAACACAAGAAAGAAAAGAATGTCGAAAAAATAAGAGTGCATTCCAAATGGCCGACTTTCTGAGAGTTGAACTGTATTTGACTAACTCATGCCCCTCAGTCCAGATCCAAAGATAATATTGCTGCTGCTGAAGCTTGGGCTTTGTGCTGTAACCACAGTTTATTAATTGTCCTGTTTCATTGAGGGGAAAATGCAAAGCAGACAGAACACTGGAGTAACTAGCTGGAAATATTCCACTACTTCATGGGAAGCAGCTTTCCAAACGATTCCTGTAGAGGCCAAAGTCTTGGTCTAGCCAAAATAGCACTAAAGTGTACCTTGATGGTACATTAAAGAAGAAATTTTCCCCCAATTTACTTCATTAGGATTTATAGCCTTTCTGCCGCCTCAAAAGCATAACATTGATTTCTTAAATATAAAAAAATTATTTCCTAAAATAGATCGCTAGACTGCTTTCAGTTATTTATTTAAGGGGAATTATGCCAGGTATTGCTTATATGAATTCCTGTAAAAGACTGAATTCATTTCATAATTTTCATAATTAATGTTATTCCTAATCTGTAGAAATATGCTACTAATGTGATTGATCATTACCACATCTTATTCTGATATCAAAACATCTTTCACTTTAAGATATTAAAACGTTGATCATGTAAACGAGCAGCAAAAATATCCCTTATTAGTAGACAAATTGATACCTAAATTACTGAACACCAGAGAAATTAAAAACTGCAGCTAAATAAGCCCTATCAGATATTTGGGGGAGGAAACCAAACTGTTCAAGTGATATTGTTTTTAAAAGTAAAGTTTTACCACTCTGTTATACTCATTGTAGAGTATTTAAATCCCCCCCTAAAAAAAGGAAGACAAAGAAGACTACATAATTGTTTGTTTATAATCTATTCCACTGTTTTTGTGTTTTGCTTTATAAATCATATTTGAATCCTATTTCTTTACTTTATATTGACATTTTTATGCTATTATAAACGTAGTTTTTAATAGCTACATATTATTTAATCAGATATACCTATCATAATTTACTTAACTACCTTACCATTGTTTAGCACTTAAGTAGTTTTTTATTGTCAATATAAATAATGCATGATGAGCATCTTTGCATATAATGATTTCTCTGGTTTTTGTCTTGTTTCCTCAAGATGCATGCTCCTAGTGGTCAAATGTTATAAATATTTTAAAGGCTCCTTGTTCAAATTGAAGTCCAAAAATCAGTACCAATTTATACTGTTTCCAGTATCTTAAGTGTCCAAATGACAGAATTTTAAAAGTATTTCACTGGTGTTGATTTGGTTTATATGTTGAGATGATTCAGAAAACCATTAAAAAGTGAATATGTAGAGATAAAGCATTTGACTGACTGTACATATTTTGGTTCAGCCTTATTGTTAAACCAGAGGCCAATGTTCATAGTCACAATGTCTCAGATGTGGAAAAGGGCATCTGATTTTTGCAACATAGAAGTATGATGCCAGGGACAGAACTGAATGACTAGCCAGACATGCTGAGTTGAAAGATAGAGTTAGGATTTGAACATTGTACTCAGTCTCCACTTTATAGTCTAAGCCCTTTTCACTGTAAATTTGGGAGTGTGCTGCATTTAGAGATATTTTCATAAAACTAGAAAATAAGAGAGAAATTTGAGATTGCTAAAATGTATGCCACTATTGTCAGAAGTTGCAATTACAGCTGTCTTATTGTGCTGTTTTTTAAATTATCTTTTCTGCAATAATAAAGGTTGTGTTCTAATGAAAAAAATTAAGAATAAACCTTTAATTTACTTAAATTTTGATAGCTGAAATACAGGTTCTTTTGCGATCTTTTAATATGATTTTTGCTTTTGGGAAAGTTATTTGCTTTTTATGTTTATTAAATATATAATCTATACTTGTTTATGCTGTTTAAAAATAAACCCTAGTTAAACTTTTTGATGAGTATTATCTTTTTTTAAAATATGTTTTTATTGCTTTCAGAGAGAGAAAGGGAGAGGGAGAGACAGAGGCATCCATGAGAGAGAAACATTGCACGCCTCCTGCTGGGTATCCAGCCTGCAACCAGGGTATGTGCCCTGACCGGGAATTGAACCCAGGCCCTCCTGGTGCATGAGTCAGTGCTCAACTACTGAGCCACACTGGCTGGGCATAATGAGTATTATCTTGATAACATGCTCACCAATTTAGAAACTGATGCAAAGTAGGTCATCTTAAAAGCAAGTTATTTGAACAAAACAGAAATAGACTCATAGATACAAATAACAAACTGGTGGTTGCCAGAGGAGTGGAGAATGACAGGGTGGGTGAAACAGGTGAAGGAGAATAAGAGGTAGAAACTTCAGTTATAAAATAATAAGTCATGGGGATGTAACATACAGCATGAGAAATGTTGACAATAATATTGTAATAACTTTATATGGTGACAGATGGAAACTGTACATTACAAACTAATTTTGTAATGTACAAAAATAGTGAGTCACTGCATTGTATACCTGAAACTAATAGTGGATGTCAACTCTAATTCAATAAAAATAAATTGCATTATTTGATATAACACTGAAAATTCTTCTTGCTTAAAATTCTTGGAAGGAAAGTTTTTCTTAAGAAAGACTATATTTAATTATACTATAAAGGAGGGATATTGCCCTGGCCAGGTGGTGCAATTGGTCAGAGTCTTCTGGTATAGCAAAAGGTTGTGGATTCGATTCCCTGTCAGGGCATGTATGGTAGGCAACAGATCAATGTTTCTTTCTCACATCGATGTCTGTCTCTCTCTCCCCGCCTCCTCCCCACTTCCTCTCTTTAAAAAAACAAACAATAAAACATCCTTGGGTGAGGATTTTTTTAAAAGTATGTAAAAAATAAGCAATGATGTTTCTTTAATCTCATGCCTTGTCGTGACTGATCAGAGACCTTCTGGACACTTGGGTCACATACACATATTATATAATAAAACTAGAGGCCCAGTGCACGACACTTGTGCACTTGGTGGTGGGGGATGGTCCCTCAGCCCAGCCTGCATCCTCTCACAGTCCAGGAGTCCTTGGGGGATGTCCGACTGATGGCTTAGGCATGCAGGGCGTGGGCCTAAGCTGGCAGTCGGACATCCTTAGCATTGCTACAGAGTCAGGAGAGGATCCTGCCACCACCACTGCACTCCCCAGCTGTAAGCCGGCTTCTGGCTGAGTGGCGCTCCCCTTGTTCAAGGGCTAACTGTATAGTACTTAAAATCAACCCCTGTAAAATGATTACTGAAGTCTTTCCTTGTTAAAGCATGAAGTTTCCTACTTAAAATCAACTTATATATCCCCAATTCAAAACTAATTTGTCTTTGCCTGTTATGCTTGGTAGGATGTAAATTGCTGTACCATCCAAAAAGTTTGTAAATCCTTTGATCAACTCTGATAATAAAGTTAAAATCTTAAATGTATACTTGGCAAGAAAAGTTAGTATTTTTGTTCTTAATTATTAAAACTTACTTTTTTCAGCATTTCACTGTTTTCTCTTAGACCAGTGATGGCGAACCTTTTGAGCTCGGTGTGTCAGCATTTTGAAAAACCCTAACTTAACTCTGGTGTCATGTCACATATAGAAATTTTTTGATATTTGCAACCATAGTAAAAGAAAGACTTATATTTCTGATATTTATTTTATATATTTAAATGCCATTTAACAAAGAAAAATCAACCAAAACAATGAGTTCGCGTGTCACCTCTGACACATGTGTCATAGGTTCGCCATCGCTGTCTTAGACCATGTTGTTATAATATGTAAAGGCCATAGATGGTATTTAAAGTCCTTATTTTTACATACCTGGAAGTCTTACTTATGAAACAATAGAAGAATTTTTTTTTGCTAATTTAGTGGCAGTTTAAAGAAAACCCATATATAGCTTGAGGGGATGTATGAAAACTTGCTTTAAGAAATGCTGAGCCATATCTCTGACTCAATAGGAGATGTGTGTTCCCACCAAGCCTTGGGGTTTGGTAGTGTGCTTCTTTTTAGTATAAGAAGTATGCGGTTAAGCACTTGTCCACACTGTAGGATTATACAAATGTTTTTACTTTTCTTATTTTTACCAGTGGTGTCACTAGTTAGAGCATGAAGCTATATGGATTGAGGAAAAATGTAGTGCTTTTATGAGCCATTGAATTTTCATCTGTGTCCACATTTTTTGAACATATGAAATGAGAATGTATGAAATGAGATGAGAGTAATTTTATACTCTTTTATGATGAAAAAAGAAAACGTATGCCTTACTAATTGTGGGATAAGGGTATTTTTTTCTATCATGAGCAGTGTCATTACCCTAGGTAGCTGGAAAAGTAAATGTTTCTGAAAGTATGATACAACTTTCATACTTGAACTTTATTTGCATATGCAGTTTCCAGAAACTTGCCAACAAAAACTTACATTTGGACAGTGCAGTAGGCAAGTAACTGTTTAGTGAGAAATGGGGTTTGTTCTTGAGTAATTATTCCATTTGGATTAATGCAGCCTGGGTGGTGGTTAGACAACCTTGGAGTTTGCTAAGCTCTACTTCTTCTTAGAGGACTCTATCCTTGCAGACCGTAAGTCTTCAACAGTGTCCCAAAAAGTGGTTACTTCTACTTTAAATTTATTGTGACCATCCAATAGCTGTAAGGTAGTAGTGGAACAACTTTCTTCCCTTTAAGACTTGGCACACAAATAGTTTTGTGTAAAAATGAAAATTACAATTTCTCTTAACAGCTGTGACATCTTATGAAGACCTTGGACTCTTTGCATTTGGATTATGTGGGAAGGTAAGTTTTTCTTCTCCTTGCTATGTCCAAAATCCAGAGAGGCATATTTTCCTTCTCTTTCCAGTTAGAAAAGACAAGAATATATCAGGGAAAGAAATTAGAGAAATAAAAGGAAATTAAAGTAAAGGCAGAATGATGGGAACAGGAAGTGGAAGAAAAGAAATCTCTTTATGCCCTTTCTAAAAATGCATCAATAAATTTAATTCAACACTTAAATCTTTTAGTACTTTTCACCCAAATGAAGGACAGCAATGACTTGGATAATTTAAAAATAGTAGTAGTGGTCTATTTTAAGTTTTCCTTATTAATTTTGATTATATTCCCTGAGTATATCCCCCAAAAGACAGGACAGTGGAGAAGCATTGGATTAAAATTATACCGTAACTAGCCCTAGCTGGTTTGGCTCAGTGGATAGAGTGTCAGCCTGTGGACTGAAGGGTCCTGGGTTTGATTCTGGTCCAGGGCACATGCCTGGGTTGCAGGCTCAATCCCCAGTAGGGGGTGTGCAGGAGGCAACGGTCAATGATTCTCATCATTGATGTTTCTAACTCTCTCTCTCCCTTCCTCTCTGAAATCAATAAAAATATATTTTAAAAAGTTAAAAATATATTTTAAAAAGTTAATACCATGACTATTTACAAAACGGCTAATTAGAAGATCATATTATTTAAGAGCTTAACAGTGCTGCAAGATTTTGTAGCTATCTCCTCATTTATAGGTGAGGAAATTAAGGCCCAGAGAAATAGAGGGGCCTATTTGTCCGCAGTTACTTAAAGGACTCTAGACTCTAACTGCTTTTTCCTCCTCAGAATAAGAGAACTAACAGCAATATTTGTTGGGCATTCATTTGTGATAGGCATACTAAACTAATTTAGCAGGTAGGGGAAACACTATCTTCTTCCACAGGTGATCAGAAGGTAAATATTGTTAGTGCCATAGTACTTTTTTTTTTAAAATTTCTCAAGAGCTATCATATTTATAAAACCTATTTTCATATTGGTTTCAAACAGGCCTTTTTATTTGTAAATCTGTTTTTTATGGTTTTGCTTGTTTATTTTGTTTTTAAATCTAAAAGAATACTATATTTTTGGATGGCTGAACTAATTTCTAAGGCAAGTCTGGAAGGAAAAAGATCTATGTAATAGGGAAAACACCTATATTTACATTCAAATTTACTTGGTTGTTAAAGTACTAAAGGCATAAAGTACAAAAGGGCAAAATGGAGAATAGTTACTTAAGGGTAAAGGGTTTTGTTACTACCCCAGTAACAGTTTCTCTTTCCTAAAGGTCAGAATGTTTGGTAGAATCATGATCAGTTTCCTGCATTCAGTTTAACCAAGGAGGAAGAATATGTTACTTACATAAGAAAACTCTCCAATTAATTGAGTATGTTCTATAACATGACTCTAAGTATCATCAGTGTTATTTCCCATTAGTATTTCCTGAATTCCTTGTATAGCAGGAGGGTCTAAATGAGGAGCATGGATTATTGAATCCCCTTTCCTAGAACTCTAGAATAGTTGCATTATCATTTTAATGTATGCACCTGGTACATAGTAGGCAGGTACACAGATAGAGGGCACTCCAAATAGGAGTTGTCTGCCTTTTAAATATTTCCTCTTCATTTTCACAATTGGGTTAAAACTTTCCTATTACCTGCTTTCCAGATATAATATGGATAGTGATATTGTATATGTTAGGATAACATTGTTCTGAGAATTAAAGAATATTTTTGCAATGTTTTTTGAAAATTTTAAGGAAGATTTTTTGAATTGTCTCTAAATTGATTTATTTACTAACCAAACAAATATGTCTTGAGCAAATACCACATCATGCACTGTGGTAGATAAGAAGATAGATAGATAGATAGATAGATAGATAGATAGATAGCCTTTCTAGATCTTAAATGTTAAAAAAAGAAAACGGAAAAAATAATCACCAATAAGTTGATATTATTACTTTTTGCAAGATATTAATAGAAAAAATCCATTATTATATATGACTGAAAAGAAATCCAGTTATTATGTATGACTGATGAAAGGTAGTGTTAAAAAAAAGTTCAAAATAGTCTTTTCACAAATAACTGAATTTTGAAACTAATTTTTAAATGGGTTGATATGCAAAGTTTTTTATTTTTATTTTCTGGAAAATGTTAGAGAGACGATGACCACATTTTCAAAGACATGTCTAAATTTTCCTGTCATTAGTCCTGCTCTGGAGACTCCAAGGCCTCTAGGCCTCAGTAACTTAGATTGTTCCCAGGATAGGTAAATGCTGTGCCACTGATGGGATTCCTGGAAGGGTGATCTGTTTCCAATCTGTGTAGGACTGCATGACCCTAGATAGTTAGTCAGCTCCAACATACATTGGGGGTACAGATCCACCAAGATTTCTTTGAGTGATCGGAGGGCCCAAGTGGAAGGAGAATGTCTTTCTTCCTAGAACATCTGGTTACCAAGAATGGATCAACTGCTGTCTTCAGTTTCCCAGGAGTCTCATCAAAGATCACAGGCTAGCAGCCTGCAGGCTGAACTTAGTCCTCAACATATTTTGTTCAGTTCAAATCCTTTTTATTTTTAACTGATTGCTAACTAAGAGTTATGAAATTTTAAAGAATTCAATTTTTGACTTTCACGAATTGGAAGATCTAGCTGCATTGGGTCCACATGCCCATATGCCAGCAACTAACCAGAGCTGAGTAGCAGCTGCCCCATTTTGAGAGGGGAGGAGTTCACCAATTCTATATATTACCGATTCCAGAGAGGCAGGGAGAGAGAGAGACAGACAGAAACATCAATGATGAGCGAATCATTGATCAGCTGCTTCCTGCATACCCCCCACTGGGGATCGAGCTTGCAACCCAGGCACGACCAGAATCTAACCCGGGATCTTCAGTCCACAGGCCGACGCTCTATCCACTGTGTCAAACCAGCCAGGGAAGATACTACAGTCTTTATAACCTCCCACTGTCTTACACTCAGCCCACTGCATATTATTGAGTTTGAAATGTTGCTAAATTTTCAGGTTTGAGGATATATGGATTCTAAAGTTTCCTGCTCTAGATTATTATTCCCTGGGACAAGAGATGTGGAAAGGCTTGATGTATGAGGGGTAATATATTCAAAAGACTATATCATTTCCTTTTAGGTAGTACAGCATTGGCAGAGCACACCTCAAGCTGTCTCAGTCTACCTACTAAAGCAGTGTGGTAAACCAGTAAAAATGGAGAATGAGACCAGATAGATCCAATTTCATTTTTTTGGTACTTTGATAACCACTGATTACTAGCTTTTTAACACTTTTAACTGTTAAAAATGACTGCCAAGAAAACTTTCAAAAGTATTCTTTATAGTAACCATGGAACTATTAAAGAAAGGCATTTTATGTAATGATTATTAGTTTTATGTATTACAAATGTCTGGCAAAGTTTATTCTTTCCAATTTTTCTGGATTTCTGCGTCTGTTTTTTAGTAGTAGTTATTGGATTTTAATAAAATACCATTTTTTTATATTATTTCCTCTTTCATCTTCTGAATACATTTGTTCTTTTATAGGTGGTGGTGGCAGGCACCATAATAATCCAGAATATTGGAGGTAAGCAGTGGAAAGTACATGGTTTATGTATAGATGTGATGGAAATGATTTCCTCTTTTGGTTTCTTGCCGTACCACAGGTCTAGCTGGAACCTGAACCACTTTAGTCACAGGTATCCTCAGAAACCTTGCGTGTTGTCCTCATTACTCTTTTTTTGTAGGTTTTTTAAGCAGCCCTCCTGGACAATAACTTCTAAATCAGTTCCAGGTAAACCCTTGATTTCAGCCTTGCTATTAGGCCCACAACACACCTCTAAAACATTTGCGTTCTGTAGTGGTGATAGTGGAAAGGTATTATTTAGAACAGCGGTTGCCAACCGGTGGTCTGTGGACCACTGGTGGTCCATGAGGTCCAAAAGGTTGGCGATCGCTGCTTTAGAAAACTCTCCAGGTGATTCTGAAATACTTCCCCTCCACTTTTGTCCTACTCACCCCCATTAGTGGGGACTGCTTTAGTGGGAGTGGTAGTCTATGAGCTGTGAACATTCAGGTATAGACAAACAGTGTCCTCTTATAGCAGAGAAAAATGACCAAGTGGTTTAAAAAATAGACCCGAAAAAAACATTGTCACATTTATCTGTTATCTTGTTCCCATCAAAAAAATCCCCGTATCAAGAACCAAAAATTAGTGTTAATTAGAGATAGCTACAGATTTAAATACAAAATATGGGAATTATATATGTTGTAAAGAAGTTTCATAGTGCTGAACATGTTTTTAGCATTGACTGGAGTACTAAGTTAATGCTATTAGTTTAAAAGCAGCAATTTTCAACCTGTACTCTGTGTTTAAATTATTGAATTTAAAAATTCAGGAATTTTTAAAGCATGCAATACCTGGCTATTTAGTCAGGGTACTGACCTCTTTTCCCTTAAATTGTCAAATTTAAAAAAAAAATGACAACAGTCAACACAATAGCTGTCCAGTGTGAATGAATCAAAATTATACCTAATTTTTTGTCAGATCAGCAAAAAATATATTTTTTGGTGTGCCTCAGAATTTTAGTAATTAGTTTATGTGTGCCATGAGATTAAAAAAAAAGGTTGAAAATTGCTGGTGTAAAGGAATATACACAGAGAAGGTTGACATGCACTTTGGGTCTTACACAAGATTGTATGGTCAAAGGAAATTTTTTTTTTATTTTTATATATTTTTATTGATTTCAGAGAAGAAGGGAAAGGGAGAGATAGAAACATCAATGATGAGAGAGAATCATTGATTGGCTGCCTCCAACTGGGGGCCGAGCCCAACTGGGGCATGTGCCCTTGACTGGGATGGAACCCGGCTGGGACCCAACAGGTCCAACTTAGTTTTATGTTTCATGAGCACAGAAACCTTGTTTGTCATATTCATCACTCTATCCCCAGGACTGAAGGGTCCCGGGTTCAATTCCTCAATTCCGGTCAAGGGCATGTACCTGGGTGGTGGGCACTTCCCCAGTAGGGGGTGTGCAGGAGGCAGCTGATGATGTTTCTCTCTCCTCGATGTTTCGAACTCTCTATCCCTCTCCCTTCCTCTCTGTAAAAAAATCAATTAAGAAAAGTATATAAAAAGATCTGGGACAGAAGGCTGGGGGAAGCAGAGGGAATATTAGAACTTTGGCCTTTTTTACCTATTCAAGGACCCCAGATACCTTGCAAAAGGAAGGCCTAGAATCTTTTGATCAGAAATTCCAGGCCAGCCACAATGGATGTTTTTTATCCATGATTCTTCGCAGCCACTTTTGCTAAGTCGCAAATACGCAAACACCTCTCTGGTCAAAGGAAATTTTAATCTTATATGTAACAGATCAAAATAATTGAAAGATGACAGTTTTAATAAAGTTCAATTCTGATACTCGAGATCTGAACTATTGCACATAAAGTATTATTCAACTGAAGTCTATCTTTAATGGGTTTCTTGGTCAAGGAAAATATTAACATTCCATTGGCTACATTTAGTGAGAGCTAAGCAAATTACCCAGGTTATCTTATCCCCCCCACAAACTCTTTATTATTCTGTTTTACTGATGTGGTAACTAAGAGTTAGAAGAGATAAACCAAAGAAATTATGTGCTTACTAGAGGCCTGGTGCACAGATTTGTGCACCGATGGGGTCCCTCAGCCTGGCCTGTGCCCTCTCGCAACCCAGGACCCCTTGGGGGATTTCAGACTGCTGGTTTCGACCCCATCCCCCCCTAATGTATATAGCTCCAGAGCCTGTACTATGCTTTTTTCAAAAGCAGACAAGAGACCAGATAGTATCTCTATTATTGTGATACTAGAGGCCCAGTGCATGGATTCGTGCACTGGTGGGGTCCTTCAGCCTGGCCTGCGCCTTCTCGCAATCTGGGACCCCTGGCCTGTGGGATTGGGCAGAAACCAGCAGTCCGACATCCCCTGAGGGATGTAGAAGTGGCAGGCGGCTGGGGAGGAGTCTGAGCCTGGCACCGAGCCGCTCCACTCATCCCGGCCCTGCTGCTCCTGCAGCCACTGCTGCTCAGTAGCACTGCTGCAGAGGCGGGAGAGGCTTGCGCCCCCTCAGCTGCTCTTGCCAGCGTGAGCCTGACGTCTGGCACCCGTTGGTCAGCTGAGTGGCACTCCTGCAATGGGAGCGCACTGACCACCAGGGGGCAACTCCTGTGTTTAGCGTCTGCCCCCTGGTGGTCAGTGCACGTCATAGTGACTGGTTATTTGGTCGTTCAGTCGCTTGGGCTTTTATATATATAGATAGATATGCATAACCCATAGACCCAGTAGTGTGGTGTATGCCTTGCAGGGGGTGGAGGAATGGGGAGGGAGAGGGACTGAGTGCAGAGGGTAAAAGGGGGGGATATCTGTAATATCAACAATAAAAAATATATTTTCAAAAGAGTTAGTGGCATTGAAGAACTTGCTCATGATCCACATAGCTAAGTTGTAGAGCTAAAGATTTGAATTGAGCTGAGGAGCCCAATATTTCTTCTCAGCTCTATATGATCAGGAGTCTTGCTTCTACTTATCCTTTGTAACTAATTTTAAGTCATTCCTTGAGGCACATTATTTTCTCACTCCAAACCTTAGTTTCCCCACCCATTCAAAGGAGGCTTGGTCCAGTTGAGTTCCAAGAGAATCTTGGAGGGAATGGCTGAGCCTATGAAGACCAGGCATTTGGGTATGTTGGAGGAATTGCCTTTTCCAACCTAATTTTGTATTTGTGGCTTATTTTTGTGACTGTCTGGATCAGACAGTGACTCTCCATTGCCCTACAAATAAAATACTTCACTATGGCTTAAAAAAATATTAACATTCCAACAATAAATTATAGTTGCCATTGCTCTGGAAATCCTGAACATTCATGTTTTTATTCTTTCAATTTTCATGGAAACAGATATTATTGAATGAGAGGAATGCTTTCTTGGATGTCATACAAAATAATTTCTGTCTAACAAACACTACTTTACTCTTCAGACTAGAATTCAGTAAAATAAGTCTCTTCCTTTAGGAATCTATATATTGTCATTGATTTTAAGATCTTCTTTGGAATAATTTATTTTATTTTAGCAAATACTTATTGCTTAACTGTACACTTGGTCTCTAATATGAATGTATACTTGGTTATTTTCAGTCCATCATTTTCCTCTCCATGTAATTAGTAAGCACCATCACATTTTTTCTTAGATTAGGTTGAGCTATTTTTTTTTAAATCATTTTATGTAGAATTTCATTCCAGGAATTTGGATCCAATTTTGTGACCCTGGCACAATGCCTGCCTGCTGTTGTATTCTCTAGATCCTTTATCCTAATCCCTGTTCTCTAATCTTGTATGTAACTGTTATTGAACAGGATTCTATTTCAGCCCTTGCTGTTATTAAAGTTATCTCTGTATGTGCTTTTCTCCCCCACTACATTTAAGCTCCTCCAGGGCAAGGATTATGTCTCATTTCTCTTTATACTCCCAGAACCTAGCACAATACCTGAGGCTTGATGAACCTTTGTTGAACTGGTTGGAGCTGGATATGATTTGTATGGGTTATTTCCAAGTACTTTTAAGTGTTTTAGGTATATTTATCAAGAAGAGAAAAGGGGCCAAGCTGGCGTTGCTGAGTGGTTGAGTGTCAACCTATGAACCATGAGGTCATGGTTTCATTCCCAGTCAGGGCACATGCTTGGGTTTCGGGCTTGATCCCCAGTGTGGGGTATGCAGGAGGCAGCCGATCAATGATTCTTTCATCATTGATGTTTCTCTCTCTCTCTCTCCCTTTTTGAAATCAGTAAAAAATATGTATTAAAAAAAGAAGAGAAAAGGGGATTGCTAGACTGATTGCTCATTTTAAATATATGAAAAGCTGAACATGAAAAAAATAAAAAGATGCTAGACTAATTCAGTATTGTTCCAGAGAGCAGAGCTGGTTCTGATGGGTCCACAGTGAAGCTAGTTTGGGTGCATTTGGAATACCTTTGTAAGTAAGCTGTGTAATAATGGGGACGACCCACACTCTTTGAAAATGCTCCTTATCCCTGAAAACATTCAAACAGAGCTGGTTGGTCAAATGTCAGAATGTTCTAGGAAGGATTCCTCCATTAGGTGGCAGATAAATAATCAGTTATCCCAACTCTAAGTTTGTTGATTTGCTTGCTTACTTTGTTTTAGAACCTTTAAAAAAATGACTTAGAAGCAATCACAGCAACTTTTAATGTCCCCCAAATTCAGAAAAGCAGGTGAGGCTTACTTAGTTTTAAAAGAATGTCTCTGTGATTTTCTTTACATTGGTTAAAAGTTTATTTATTGACAGTTCACTAAGTAATAATTGAAACACATTGGAGAGCTTTCTGTCTTAGCCAGGTATACACAAATCATTCCCTAATTTCAATTGAATTGGAAGCTTGTTCTTGTGAGCAGAACACTGGACTGGAAGTTACACACCTTGAGTTCTATCTACTCCAGTCTCTGTCATTGGGTAGCCATGTGTCTTAGGGAAGTCCCTCCCTCACTCTCTTTGCCTCAGTTTTCTCTTTGTTAAATTGCTGGGGGTAGGATGGGAA